TCAGTTACAAACTGCTGTGGAGGAGTTTTGGAGGGACGACATTAGTGTAGCACAGAACAAAGAGTGAAGGACCTATAGGCTGTGCTTGTTAAACTTTTTAGTTCCCTACTGCAGCTTTAAGAAGTAGGCAAATGAAAACACAACAATGGAGGCATATTAGTAGGGCATACGAGTAGGCAATCAGTTAGGAAAAACAAATCTTAGCATTTGACCATATATTAAGTATTTCTCAAAAATACTATAATGTAAAATAATAGGATGGGGTTGTTTTACGGAGATTATTTATACTGTTGACCTATTGCACCCTAACCCTTCCTACAAAATATCCATAAACATCCAAAAAACAGGGAAGTTATGCTCAGTTAAGTCAATTAGATAGTTTCATTGTTCAAGAAGTTACAAGTAGATGCTGTTGCCACGAATAAACTGTAGGACCCTGTTGGGATATTTTTCAGGACAGCATGTTCAGCAGTGATGCTCTTCCATGAATCAAAATAACTTATGAAGACACAGCGAAGTGGGCCGAGAAGCCCATTAAAAAAATCAGTGGTGGCACATGTCATTGCGGTGTAGAGGAAGAGATCCACTGGAATAATGTGCTTCACTTTGACTTCTTCAGTACAATGTTTGAACTTTATGCATGTTTTAGTACCACTTTCGCTCTGCAACTTATGAGAAACGCAAGTGAAAAAAACTTTACTATTGTAATAAATTTTAAACTTGGAAGTTCTTTAGTCTTTGAAATTGCTGAGCTCAGCGTTTGATAAAACCTTTTCAGTCGTCCCTAACATGCCAAAAGCTGCAGAGGGGTGATTGAAACCAGGGCTTTGCAGCAATGAAGCACCACTTTTACAACTTTGATGCTATGAGCCATAGACCAATGTTCTCCCTGTCTCTTCCACCAGGATTCCTTCACATTAGATCATTAATCACAGGGAGATAAAACATTGCAGAGCTGGGACAACAGCTGGTGGTAAGTCAGTGGTAACCTTTTGGTGTTATTGATTTTGGAGGGGGCCAAAGAGTGAAATACACCAATATACACTGGCACACGCCATAAACTTCATAGTGCAGCCTGCTGTTTTCCATACACTTGCTGCTTCTCTAATATGTAACCATACTAGTTCATAATTTACCTATCGTTAGTCCTGGACTTGTTTTAATTTTGACATTTCCCATTTTGGCTAAATTCATTCATGTTTTATAACTCTTTGATCTTAATCAGATGTTATTACCATACTTGGAATATGTGAAACCCTGTGTTTCAGCGGTGGAAGTGAAATTGGAGCATTACATCTAAGCTGCCTCACTTACAGTTTTTCTCAGTGAGCATGTTTGATACATTATACAACTGATATTGGGCATTGTGTACATAATACAGGTCAGCAAAAAAAAAAAAAAAAAAAAATATAGTTTTAGCTATGTGGACAACCAGTAGAGCTCCAAACCATACAGTAGAGATTTGATAAATTTCAAAATAATTTTAAACAGTAATAAAAGAGTGATATTATGTTTCATAGAAGTACAACGGTCCTAAAAATATGTATACTGTAAAGTAAATTAGGAATAAAATATTCTGTAGTTGCTATTTTGATTTGATAGTGAGCTAAAATGGCAATTACCTTAATTTCTAAAATGGAGACTAGGAAAAAGCAAAACAACAAAAAAACATATTTAAGCTTTAAAACATACCACTCGCTCGCATATGGACATTAAGATTACAGACAACGAGAATCCTTTGATAATATTCTGATCCCTTATGTGTCAGCCAAAGTTTTACATGTAAACCCACAAGTTCAGACATTTTACCTGTTGACTCCAAAAAGATCCAGATGAAACCTGAGTGTTACCGAGAGCTTTCCATATATACACCGTGCAACCACTCCCATCTACCAATTTGTCATCCAGAGCTGCAGTATTCCAGTGAGATTAGCTCTCAATCCCACCTCCCCATCTCACAGGAAAACATTTTCATCACTTATTCTTTTCATAAAGTGCCAGATTTGTCATGCAAACTCCTATTTTGAACGTTCTTAAGCTATTTTATTGTAGCCACTTCATTTTTAAGGCATAGTGTTTATGCATTTTCTGTCTCAAAGCAACCTTAGATCTTCTGTTATTGTGCTCCAAACTTCCTTGTAACTCACAGAGTGATTGTAAAATCATAATGTGCCGTGTTCCCTGTGCACGTTTTTGTCTTCCTAATGTGCCCTCAGCTCAAGAAAAGCCTGGCTCTGTCAAAAGATGGATAGTGAGGCAAACAATTCTGTTAACTTTTCAGGCATTTGCAGATATATTTTCTCTTTTAATGTGTTTATCATGACTCATGAGCTTCTCTATAGCGGCCATTAACATATGATTATCATCTCAAAGCTAATAGCTTTGTCTGTTGTTCTCTTCTTCCTAAATCTAGTCGTTTTCCATCTTTAATGTTCCTTTCTTTCCTGTCTCCTTCCTTTTTCTGTCATTTTCTCTCTCGTGCTTTCACTCTTTTGTGTGACTCCACATTCTGCCCTGCAGCTCTTCAACATCCCAGATTGAAGCCTTACTCCCACACAATGCTCTCCATTATTGCTTAATTATCTGTGGCCTGCCATTTGAATAATGTGCAATCTCTTAATCTCTTTAACATTTGCTTTTGCTTGCTGTTATTTTTATTTCCTTCTAACTTTATTTTTTTCCTCTGCTGCTTTTTTCCCTGAATTCATTCTCGTTTCTTGTGATGTCCGAGAAGCATCAGAAAACTTCTTTATGCCAGTCCATGTTACACTTCCTCCTGAGAGCCAATTGACTCACTAGTTGGTTCATAAAACTGTACAAAAAACCCCCCAAAAAAACACTTAAAGTGTAAATAACCCCCCTCTGAAAGCATAAACCCACCCCTGGCAAATTTTGAAAATTTTCAGCAAAGTCAGCGGAGTCGAGAGACACAGCTGAGAGCGGGGTTGTGTGGGGGTGTGATCAGGACGAAAGAAATACTGTTGTCAACTTATCCACTCTTTTGCTATATTTAACTATTTTAAGACTCCTCTAGTGACTTTTTTTCAGAACAGCTGGTGATAAATCTAGCATCAATTTTTCTGTGTTGGAGACTTTTATGGCAAAAACTTTCTGCAGCTCGGCTGCAGGCAGCATGTCGGTTCTGAGTGAGCAGCCATTAGTCGCTATTAGCTTCTTTTGCTTCCTCAGAACGACTGCAGCCAGTCTCACACAGTCATCTGTTCAACAGTATACCTTCGCTAATAGCCAGAGCAGAGGAGGCCTATTCTACTGCGTATCTACGTTGCAAATAAATCACACATTTGTAAAGCTAAGTAAAGCTATTGATCAGTGCTCGCCAGTCACCACGACAACTCTCACAACAACTCCTGACTCGCCACCTGGCAGGGACAAAGAAGTGGGGAGGGAGAGCTGTGCTTTTATACCCAAAGTGATGGAGTTATACCAAGCCGCAATGCTGCAACCTGAGGAAAATTTAACTGCCTAAGAACCATTTGACAGGAAAGGCCAGGACACGGTTTTTAGGACCAAATAATGGGGAATCAAAAGAATTGCACAAAAATGCCAAAATTTGCACAAAACATAGAGATAATCTATTTGGGTAGTTTATCTGTAAAAAAAAAAAAAAAGTTGATTTGGGGGCGAGTTTACTTTGGTAGTTGCAGCTTTGGTTGGTAAGATGTAGCAAAGTGTCATTTTTGACTAAACCCAAAGACATAAAATAAACAATAACCACTGCACCAGCTCACTGGTGCAGTGAGCTGGTGCAGACAGCTTACCTGTCTGTCTGTCTGTCTACAGACAGACAGACAGGTAAGCTGTCTGTCTGTAGCTTACCTTTCAAATTAAAAATGAATAGATAAATCTATTAAAGAAAATAATCTCAAATTAACAGAGCTAGACATTAAGGCCTTTAGAAATAATTATTTTTCAGAATTAATTCAATTCTGTTTTTTTTTTTCTTCTTCAAATTCTTTGTGAGATATATCAGATGATTACCTTTATAGTCTTCTGTTCTCTGAAGCACCATGGCATCATAGGATAATCTATTAAAAGCATGAACTGACATGTGTTTTATATGGGTGCATTTGTTTCAGTTTGTTAAAAGTTATCTGATTGAATTTTTTGAAATGTGTATGTGACTGCATGGTCCCTGCAGAAAATCAATTGGAGCTTTTCTCATGGCTCCTGCCGTATCAAATGCACACGCTGCTTTATTCCAGTGAAAATGTGCTCATGTCTGTTGTCTTCACTGTTTGCGACTGATCATTTACCTGAAGCAACAGTATCTAGGGAGATTAAGTAAAATAGAGTAGCAAAAGTGCTTTTGTGTTCAGTAGAAAACCACAAGATTTGTTTGAGATATGGGGGAATACTTGTAAATGTATTACTAGTAGAACACCAAAGACGCAAATGTCTTTTCTTGTGTTGCTGCTTTGAAGTAAAGTGTTGTTATTTCAGCTACGTGGTAGAAATATGCCATCGTAATCCACTTCCCTCGGCTTTCTTCAATTTTATTTTAGTGTAATAGTTAATAATGAGTGCATGGCCATTGCTTTTTAAAGCTGTTTGTACTCAATTTAAATTCCAATTGTTTTCCATTGGTTTGGTACATTACAGAAATCAATAGCAGACAATAAACACTCACTCACTGCTTTTATGAGTCAAATCAACCTTAGAAGGGCAGTTCGAGTAACTGTGTTCACTCCAGAAGTCATTATGGTCATTTTGAGCATGAGTTTACAAGCCATTTTACAGGTTTCTCATCAATACACATTATTAGTCTTAGCAAAAATATAACAGCAATTTTCATCACAATTCTATTTCATCTGTATGTTTGTAGATCCAAGCACTCTCTTGTTTACTGAGTAACATTCTATACGCGGTTTATACAATCAGCTTGTTCAGTGCTGCCATGCTCTTGCCTCAAATCGAAGAATAGACATCGTATTATTCAGAATTTCACATTAATGACCTGATTGTCTTTACTCTTTTCACAGGGTTGGTAAAGCTTGGAATTCACTGTGTGACCTGCCAGAAGGTTGCGATAAAGATCGTCAACCGCGAGAAGCTCAGCGAGTCGGTACTAATGAAGGTAAAGTTCCAGACTTAAGATTTATGGTTTTAAAATCGAATATTTTGGATTTTCATTCTGCTTTAGGTTTTTTGTTACATTGAAGAAACAGTTTTCAAAAGGCCTCATTATTTTTTGTCGTTTTTAAACAAATTATTTTGTATAACAGATCAACGTTTAATCCTTCCCCCCTTGTTGTTTTTTTTATAAATATTTTTTTGGTAACACTTTATTTGAAGGGGGTTGAATAAGACTGACATGACACTGTCATAAACACCTGTCATGAACATGAATAAGCCTTCATGAATATTTATGACTGTTGTCATAAAGCGTCATTCGGTAAATTATGACACTTTTAATACAAAGTTGACATTATTCAAAATGTATTTGTTATGACACCTTGACATTAACCAAGAAATCATTACTGATATAAATTTGTTATAAAAGTATTACTGATTGCACTTGAAAAATTAGGTAACTTTATGTTATTAAAGGTAAAGTTTAAACAGTAATGATTTCATATGTTTTAAATCTAGTGTACAGGAAAGTCAAGCTGATACACGCTTTGCTACATATTTCTAGAAAAAGAAAAAGTTGTAACATCGTGGAATGTGTTGAAATGACATGCAGCACTGAACAAAAGTATTTTAAATGAGATCTTGTATTGATTCCTGAGTGAAAATGTAGTTTTCTGAACTGTGCTTTCTGTCACTTTTAGATTTACTCACCGCTTTACAAGTTCAGTTTTCATAAAAAAAACAACAGTTTAAGATTGATTCATCCTCAGCAGCTCGTCATATGCGAAGCAGTCTTGGTAAAGTTGTAGCAAATTCTACAGTCACTCATGTGTTCAATTTTGTTAGAAAGGGGTCAAGCAAACTATACCTCCACTCCCACTCATAAAAATCCCATTTTATTAAAAGATTTATAGTGAGCTACTTGAAATGTAAGTGCTATTAAAGTCTCAGTGCACCTCACCTGCGCAGTGCCTTGGTAGCTCAGATTTCATTTCACTGTAAAAATACTTTTTTTTTTTTTTTTTTCTTGCCAGTCTTTGCTAGATACTCAACCTTACTTTATGAGTGAACAGCCAGATTTAGTTGCAAGTTGGTCACTGAATTGCTGTGTCTAAAATGACTGTGGCACTTCTTGCAGCAGATACACTGCAAGAAGTGTGTGTTCTGCACACACAGGGTCTGAAAAAAAAAGTCTTGGGCATCTCCAGCCTTCACCTGAATAGCATATGAGGTGATTTTTATCTTGTTCACTGCTACACAACCCTTAAAAACAAAATAAAGTTGGGCTCTTTGCAATGTCTCTCCATAGACATATACAAGATTATTCTAAAAAGTTAGAATATTATAAAGATTATATGGTATATTGGTTTCTTACACATTAAATTAAATATTTCAAGTATTTGTTTTTCTTATTGTAATTTTGATTATTTTAGCTCACAAATACAGGTAAGAATTGGTGCTAAAATGCAAATAGTATTTTTTCTTTGTTTTTATTTAAGTAAAATAACTTTTTTAGATAGTCAAATCGAAATGATATGATTTTAAGATGGTGTACATATTTCAGTTATTTGCACCGTGTATTTGTGTAGTCTTTTGAGTCTGTTACAGGATGCCACACCCTTCTCTATAAATGGCACAGCATCATAAAACACTCCAACCTCTGTTTTGCATCAATGTGTGCCTCACTCCATCAGGCCATCCCTTGAAAATATTTCTAGAGTTTCCCCAAAAAGACTTGACCTTGATCACTGCTAACTTTTGAAAGCTCGGATAAACATAAACCCTTGAAAAAAAAATTATTTTTTTGTATAACATTTCTTATTTATGCTGTTTGAAAATAAAGCACGTAAGGAAAATAACTACAATGAGGCTTAACTGAAAAATGTCTATTGAAAGCTTTGAAGCTGTAACTTTAAATATATTTTTGCTTAACGAGACATATCTGTACGTTCCTCATTAGATGTCATGATAATTTAGTGTCAGAAACTTTGATTGGCCACTTACCGCAGTGTTTCTCTCTCTCTTTTTTTAAATCAAGTTGTTTTTTGTTCTTTCTCATAACATCTCAGGACTCCTGCTGGGCACCTTCATTCTGTCTCAGCTCAAAATAGTCATTATATGAAATTGTCTCTTGAGTTGATGGTATGGTTATAAAAAAAAAAAAAAAAAAAAAAAAAAAAAAAAAAATAGCAAAAACAAAAAAAAAAAGGATTTTTTCCAAAAGTTTCCCAATTGGGAA